AATTATTCCTGGGTTGTGAACTGGTGCAGACTGGTTGTTTTCATGAAGCCAGTCCAGATGTTTTGATTCCCCCTCCCCCCTGTGGTTTGATCTCAGCTCTCTGCAGACCTCAGCGAGTCCATGGCCCGCCTCGGCTGCTTTCCATCACCTGTATGAGTCTGCTGCCTTCAAAGTGGGTCTGTGTGCGTTCTGCTTGTTGTTTCCGTCTGAGGACGTCCTCGATGTGACACCGGCTACGTGACACACGTGTTCCTGAGCATCATTTAAGGCTCGCCTCAGTGTGGATCCAGGCTCTGAAACCAAGAGGTTTGGGGTTTGAACATTGAGCGTTTAGTGTTTGTGTGTTGAGTGGAATCAAACACTCGGATGATCGTCTCATACGAGCTCGTTAACTCTGCACAGAGTTGATTAGCTCCTCAACAATCATGCTGTTATGATTACTGACATCAGGAGAGCATCTTTGCTGCTCTCAGAGACACTTTAACGTGTCGCCTGTCTGCCGCCGGAGTAACTCTGACACCAAAACATGGAAATCTGAGGAACACAGAGTTCTGGACCTGATGGAGGTCATGTCCTGTTCAAACCATTTCTCTGGCTTTCTGCTGGACTCAGGGTGGAGGGAACTCGTTCTTCCACTCATCCATGGTCGGGTCATAGAAGTACTGGATACAGGGGAGAAAACCCAGAACTCCTTCTTTTCAGTCACACTATCCAGCTCCTCCTGTAGAATCCCAAGTTCTTCCTAGATCAGAGAGGATATATAATCCTTCCAGAGAGCTCTGGGTCTACCAGAGTCCGTTCCACTTGAGCCCAAGAGTTTCATACCAGTTTCATACCAGTGCATGCTGAAGTTTTTTTTAAACATCTATTAAGTTCATGGCAAAAAGCAATGCAGACATGTTCCTGTTTTTAGATGTTAGTTTTTCAAACCAGACTCTCATGACTGGGGTCTAAGCTGCACTAGGAATGAGAATGTGAACTGAACCCTTGTTAGACCTAGATGTAACCCCAGCTACACCGGATCCCCTGAACCTCCCCAACAAAACACCTTGAGGAACATGGTCTTAATCCTTCTCCAAGTAACGCATGTAGCCTAGAGAGTCAAGTTCAAGGGCAAAGACCTGGTCCACTGTTTGAGAACCAGGACCAGAGTCACCCTGCTCCTCCTGAATGTGAGGTTTGAAGGTCGGTCAGAGCCTCCCATCCAACATCCTGGAGTGAACCTTACAGAGACTGTGGAGAAGTTGGAACCCACTCGGGTTAAAAATGGGACCTACCACCCTGGTCTAACCCTGGACGGACACGTGTCAGCATCATGACGTCCACAGTGTGACGTTAATGAAGTTAAACACAGTTCAGTTGTCAAACACCAGCAGCTGCTGCTGGCCTCAAACCAGAGCCGTCCCTCAGCAGCTCGTTAGGTAATTAAACTGGAAACATTTAATGAGGCTTTAGCTGCGGAGAGATGTTTACTGCGTGATCGCTTTAGTTTGGTAAAGAATGAAGAAGGTGAAGGCAGTAGGACCTGATGACCAGTGGAGGTTTGGAAATGTCTTGGAAGATGGCAGTGAGGTTTTTGACTCAAATATCCAATGGCATGTTGGAGGGTGAGAAAAT